ATAAACACGCGTACCTATCAGTTTGTTGAAGTCTCCGTAACCGATTACATATTATAATGCAATTATATATTAATATATTATTATATAGTATATTACACATGTCTTAACCTAAATATTAGACTGACGTTCGGAGTGTTTGGACAAATTATTATTGTTGAGTGAGTCGTCCGCAATCTGGTATGAATGGTATAATATACTGACCAATGAGACTGCAGGATTATACCTGTATAAAATATTATAAAATGTGTCCCGGGATTAATCGACCGGCTGGCGTCATAGTACACCTTAAGTCATGGAAAAATCCCCATGAAGCGGATCTAACTGTTTTATTTTTTTAGTTACCTATCGGAAAATTAACTTTTCTTATAACACGATTACTGAACCTACCACACATTTGTTGATGTATCTACAAACAATTTTTAATATTTTTTTTTTATTTGAAGCTATTTTAGTTTGCTATCGACTAATATACACATTTCAGTCAGAAATATACAAACTATTTTTATCTACAAAAATAATTATAATTTCTAATAAAATCATAAAAAATCAGCTAGTGTATTTGAAAAAAATAAAAGTGATAAAGTTGTAAAAAAAATAAAAGAATTAGACCCCTCCCACCCCCTTTAAAGGTTTTTTCGTAACACTTAAGGTTTGCTATCAAATCATGACTTCGGTCGGTCACTTCCCCTCGAGACTCAATGCATTATTATAACACGCAGCACAGTGATCTGGTGAGTGTTATCGAAAGTGATTTTTTTCTCTCTTCGAACAGTTCTCTGCGAATAAATTGGCGACAGGTATTCCCGCGGACGAAACCCGTCGCTTTGGCATCGTGCTTTCGGCCCACAATATTATATTATTTTGAATAAATAAATCTTAAGTGACTCGTATTACACAAACGCGTCCAATGTACAATATGCCGGAACATTACGTGCCCAGACTTATTACAACGCTGGTAATCCCGTGGTACACGTGCGCTGGACCAGGTTCGATTGGAGGAGGTGGACAAAATAAAAACTAATATCTTTTCCCCCGGCCGATCGTGCACATAATATAATACTTTAATGTCTGCGAAACTCATATTACACCGACGCGCATATTATTATTAAATATGAACTAAACCAACGACTGCAATCAAAGACCGGACCGGGGAGAGGCGCTGAATAAATATATGTATACGAAAAATAATCTTGCGTAGTGTGCAATGCCGTTCCTCGAAATATAATTAATACTTAATAGTTGTAGTAAGTAACGCGTTAATTAGAATATTATAAATTCAATTAATATTTCAGTAGAGTATGTGTATATATTAATAGAGAGTAATGTTACAGAGTGATATTAATAAGAATACCAATTACAGTTATACTATTATTATTAAAATAATCATTTGAACAATTTAAATTTTATACTTCATGGCCATTCATAATATCATCTTAAGAACTATTTTCGTTTAGTTGAACTTTGTTCTAAATTGACCTATAAAATCAAACGTAAGTCAAGATCGAGGGTTTGAAATAAATTAAACATGCGCGAGCAACACTTCTTACACCGATGTCTGTTCATTTTTTAAAAAATGTGTTATTGATTTTCAAAATATTACGTTTTCGCCATTAGAGTCCTTGCATTGTCATTAAATGTGCGTGATTCCAAGTTTTTGACAACTTTTTCCCCGTAGAATATGGGTAAACGTTTCTATCATTTTAATGAGATATTTAACAACGTTAATATCGGAGATATTGTTCGCGAGAAGTATCGCACACGAGATATTGAACACGCGAGATTATAACATGGTTTCGGAGGTTATTTGACGAGGACCAAACGCAGTTCCGTGACGCTGAAATCGATGAAACGTTATAGATATGCCAGTACGGTGGAGGTCGAAAAACAACTAAAACGCCTAATTTCTTAAATTATTATTATTATTGTTATAATATGTAGCTATACGATTTTCGTCATAACACGTTTTTATTTTGTTTCGTACGTGCGCGTTACCACATAATAATATCAAATGCTCTGTGTTTCGACGGAATCCGAAAATGTTATGCTTTTCTTTCGTCGAAATCGCTTTTGAGCAATATATTAAAAAGCGGCGTGCAACACAATATTATAATACCCATAATATACCATAGATACCTACTATATATAGGCGGTGGTCTACAAATAGAGGTGTCTTTGTTTCAAGAAATTGCGGTGAAAAAGCACACTGTGCATTCCGTTTCGACATTTCGAAAGAACAAGAAAATAATATCACAATATAAATGATTATAATAATACGTTTCTGGATATTTTCGTGAAAAATAAAACTCGTATATAAGCGCAATACCGAGCCACGTTGCCTACAACAATAACAATATAATAATGCAACGTCGTTGGCAGCCTCCGCACTACCTGTAAATGCACACAATATAAATTATAATAATATATAGGTACATAGGTATAACAAACGTGGTGAACTTGCGGTCGTAGTTGACTGCCACGATCAGGTATCGCAGGTATATACACCTCAGGTAGGTACCAATATACCTATTCGTTCTTTCCTACAGTTTACATCGACCTCGCCTGACCTGCGAGCGAAACGCCCACCCCAAGACTGCTGCAGCGCGTACGCCGCTACCGCGTTTGATGTGTACCCGTGGTATACCTGTATACGGGTAACCCGTGGTATAGGTAACATAACGTACCAGCACGGGAAAACCGTCGATCACGTTTTCGAAAATTTTGAAATATCCATCGTCTCAACAGTGAGCGCAATATGCTCGTGGAAGTCGTGACCCGAGCACCTGTGAAACCAAAACTCAATTCAGTAATGTTTTTTAGGTTTTTTCTTTTTCTTAGAGCATATTATAATATATTTTGTAAATTTTGTTTTTCAATGCGCACAAGCGCACCAACAGTTTTCTTTTTGTCGATTTCGTTTAATTGGTTTTACGGTTGCTTTGTTTAATTTAAAAATAACGTACAATACTTCAATACAGCTGATGATGTTACGATTTTGTAAGGGTTCAACATGGTTGAACGTGTTTATTTTATGTACCTATCCATCGAATTTTTAAAGTACAATATTATGTCCAATTCGAAAAATCAAGATCATTTTTCAGTGATTTCGACTAATTAAATTGCACGTGGGTACTCATACCGCTAGGGACTTATAATTTTTATTATGCGTCCTAATAATCTAGGTACGCCGTTGTTTTTATAGGTAATCAGCAACATTATAACAGTTTACAATATAGAAAGTCACTAAAATATATCGATAAAGCAATTAATATCCCGACGACATGACAATAAATTAATTGCTTACTGTTTAATGGGCGTGTACTTTTAATTTCAATCGGATTTGGGCTTTAATATATTTTTAAATTAGGGTGAACATTATAATAGAGTCGTGCAAGATTTTATATTTAGAATACGTTTTATAATATTTGTATTGTTTTTACATTGTTGAATGGTATTCAAACCGTCATCTCATTATATCGCTAGACTACAAAGACGAGGGAATACCTATTACATTTTAATATTTTGTACAATTATTATTGTCGCAGCGATTCGACAAATAGTTGAAATTATTTCTCGACTTTGAGAATTCTTTTTTTTTAAATACATCGTATTATTTGTTTCGTATATAATACACCATTGTATAACGTCTAGTAGTACTTATTTTCCGACAATAATAAACGACATTCGTATACCAGTATCTGCATTTTTACAAATATATTTCATTGCATAATATCGTCGGACTGAATGCAGAACAAAATGCGTGGACCACATATTTAGTGGACAGGTGGAGCTATAAAAAAATGCAGCACAGTATATAAGTACATACCTATATTATATTATATATAATAATATATATATATATATATATGTATTCAGGAAAATATTGGTAACGACATTTTTTATTTTTTTCCCTATTCGATTTTAAATAATTAAAAATAGTTTATATAATTCACATGACCGGTGTAAAAATAATATATTTCATAGGTAAGTGATTAATATTGTAAGATCAGGTTAATATACGAGCGACACAGTTTAATTATGTCGGACATACACTATTAATATGTTACGAGTCAACGAACAATAAAATATCATATAAATAGCTATAGAACCTATACCTACGTAGTACGTAGGTGTTATATAATAATTGATTTTAATCGGAATTTCATAATTATTCGTATGGGCACCCATTTCTCCGTTTCGTTTAGATCATTAAAAAGATTCCGATATACAACTGCTGCAGCTATTACAAACAAATAAGAATATAAAAGTAAAAAATAATAATAAGCTAAGCTTGGGCGTCGCGGTGACATTTCGAAATCGCATCGATCGTGATACAAGTCGTAGTGTCTATATTTCGAATACGAGTATTATATGTAGTACATTGTAGTCATCGATAAAATACCTCAGACATCTGAGAGCAAAAAACATCTCACAGCTACGGTCGAAGAGGTAAAAAAAGGAGATGCACTGCGAGTCGAAAATCCAGTGAGTGTCAGTGACAGTAGTAACGAGTAATATTATAATGTGATACTAATATATTTTGTTATTTTAAAGAATAGATTAGAACTAAATATTATAATAGTCGTGACCAACGCACACGTAGAAGGACGACCCAGCCAACACGGGAGACCACAAGTGTCTAGCGACAGACGTTTCCGAATGGAATTTGCGTCTCGTGAAAAACAAAAAAATGTCGTATATCTTATAATTATATTATGATGATGATATTATTATTATGATATTTAAATGTAATGCATCATCGGCGGCGGTGGCGGTCGTCGTTGCGCAATCGCGTAATATCGTGCACGGACCTCGGCACAGAACCGGCCGGCGGTCTATAGAAAGTAGGTCTGACGCGGCGGCGGCGGCGGCGGCGGCTTCGCGTGTCCTCTTCACCGCCTACCCTCGATCGGCGGATCGGCGCCGCGGACCGTCTCGGGGTAGGGGCGACCGGGACCACTTCCTTTTTCGGGCGACGGACACTACAAAACCAGCGGGTCCTGGTGATCAATGGTCAGTCGTCGGTCACCACCGTTCAACAAACTATCACACTTGCAACAACCAAAGCAGCTGCAGCAACAGATAGCAATCGCTCAACAAGGCTGATAATAGTATTATCACATCGTCCGCCACCTGTTAGCACGATGAAGGGTTTGTTGTACGCGGTTTGCGCGATCGGTCTGTGCGCTCACGCGTTCGCCACCGAAGAAGCGAAGAAGGACTCAGTCAAGGCAGCGGAACCTAAGGCGGCGGTGGCTGCAGACTCCAGCAAGGGCAAGAGACACCTTTCGTCATTCGGTTATGGCGGTTATGAGTCGGACGGTGGATTCGAATCTTACGGCAGCGCCGGTTACGGAAGCGCCGGTTACGGTTACGCCGCTCACGACATCGGTTACCACGGTCACGCTCAATTGTTGTCCAAGACCATCGTCAAGGAGGTCGGACACCCTTACCCCGTGCCCGTCGAGAAGCACGTGCCATACCCAGTCAAGGTAGCAGTGCCCGTTGACCGCCCATACCCAGTCCATGTACCCCGCCCATACGCCGTGCACGTTGAGAAACCAGTGCCATACGCAGTCAAAGTGCCAGTGCCACAGCCGTACGCAGTCTACAAGGAGGTGCCATACCCAGTCAAAGTGCCCGTCGACAGACCATACACCGTCCATGTGCCAAAGCCATACCAAGTAGTCGTAGAGAAGCACGTCCCATACCCAGTCGAGAAGCATGTCCCATACCCAGTCAAGGTTCCAGTTGACCGCCCATACCCAGTCCATGTACCAGTCGAGAAGCACGTCCCATACCCAGTCGAGAAACACGTCCCATACCCAGTCCATGTACCCGTCGACCGCCCATACCCAGTGACAGTCGAGAAGCATGTCCCATACCCAGTCGACAAGCCCGTCCCATACGCCGTCGAGAAGCACGTCCCATACCCAGTCAAGGTACCAGTCAAGGTCGAGGTGCCAGTGCCATACGAAGTCCCAAGCCACGACGAATACCACGGTAGCAGCGCATACGAAAGCAGCTCATATGGCAACTCATACGGACCGTCCCACGGTAGCTCTTCATACAGCAACTCGTACGGACCTTCCTACAGCAGCGGCTCTTACGGACCATCATCCTACAGCAGCGGCTCTTACGGACCATCATCGTACAGCAGTGCCTCTTACGGACCATCCCACGGTATCTCTTCGTACAGCAGCTCATACGGACCATCCCACGGATCGTCTTCCTACGGATCGTCTCACGGCAGCTCGTACTGATATCAAAAGCTCCAGTCATAATATATTTTATAGGTTAGGTTACCGTGTTTCGCTGCCCTCGCGAACAAAGCCATTCGCGACTGTCGGCGACAGCATCACCAACGAAACAATCAAAATCTAGGTATATTTTTTTTTTAGTTAAGTGACATTGCAATCAATATTCTACCATCAGTATAGTACCATAAAATATATACAACATGTCAACATTATGTCATTATTTGTCTGTTAACATAATAGATCTCAAAGTATAGAGTTGTATATCAACTTTTTGGGTCGTTGCAATATAATATGTTTTTTTGACTGCAAACGTTCAATTTTAATATGTATTTTTTTTTTACAAATTTCATTGTATAAATAGTTTTTAAAATATGTATTTTAACATCAAGCACAACATTATACATAAAATATTATATATTTTACATATAGATAAAATATTATATATTATATTGTGAAGCATTCGAAATAAATTTGTTTTCGTGTACTTTATATTATTTTTTATTATTTTATGCTTTATCCTATTTTTTTCCGTGTGTGCATTCAAAGCAAAAAAAACTCAACGTCGTTCAGAAAAAAATATGATTCTTTTTGAGTTTTCTCTCTTAAAAATCAATCAACCGTGTAAAAAATGGTAATTTCACAAACAACGGTCTGCTAGCAGTAATATACTATGGTTAAGCTCTGCTCGTAAAATTAAAATTACGCTAAACCGTCGACGGTCAAATCAAACCCGTGATTAAAATTCCCTTTGGTAAATTATAATTTATTAATTATTTAAAAATATATTGTTATTATTAATTTAAAGGACAAAATTTACCACAAGAAACAATTTTATCTTAAACTTAATATATGTCTAAAAAAACCTCACTAAAGATGTGCGGTGGTATATACATACTATTATATTATACTGCACCGTACTATATTAAAAATACACTCTTAAAATTATAAATCATATCAAAGGTTTCCATTAAAGTTTCACAAGTAGACATCGGCATTGGTAGATTTGCATAAGGATTAGTAGTCAAATCCGCCATAAAATACTTTGTGTACCGCAGGATGCCACAGCAAACTTTCTGCGAAACTTTTGTTACGTAAACCAAATGTTGTTATACTGTACTATATACAGTACAACGTTTTTGAAAACTTTGCAAGAGTGTTAGGTACGCGATAAATTTCTAATGAACCGAATAAACCGAGTGCACTTTGAATACATCAAATCACTTCAAAATAATAATATATGCGTGTTGCTCGAGGATGAGTGTTTTGCGCTTAAGGAGAGTTTCGTCATCGTCATCGTTATAATATTATTATTATTATTATTATTTTTATCGTCACTGCGCTGCTGGCAGGAAAACGGCGGCGGCGCGATTCCAAATTCGAATAACACGTTGTCCCGGCGGTGATCGGAGGCGCATTATGCTCCGGTACAAAACGTATTGTTATTTGTGAATGTTAAATTATGATGAATAAAGAAAAACAAAAAAACATCCCCTCTACGATAATAGTAATAGTATATTACTACACGTTTCGGTGGAAATTAAACCTTCTTCGGCAGCCGACTAGCCGACTTCGACATTGTACCGCCGCGTCTATTATAAGAAAGGCGATAGTACTGCGAAAACTCTACGCAAAAAAAGAATCAGTCCTTCTGCTACGAAAAAAACGAACACCTGCCGATATAATATAATGCCTAATACCCATTTAAATGCACAGGTAATAATTGTTGTAATAATAACAATAATAAAGGTATATCCAACGTCGTCCGAAGGTCTCTCGAGCCGAACGGCGTTTTTTTTTCATTCTCGATCGAAATAAACAAATTGGTCCGACGACGCGACGGCGGAGAATCATTAATTTTTAATAATAATATAATGGTTTTTCTTTTTTAATAACGCAGTACGCGCTCACCTATACCTACCTATACATTGTACACAGTACATATTATTATGTGCACAGAGCAATGAAGTACGCATATATATATATTATGTATTTATTTGTGTGTATATAGATAATGATTATGTAGTGCAGTGCGTTTAAATTCGATTCGCCTGTCGTAAAACGAACGGAGCTCGCTTAAAATGCGAACAATCTAAAACACGCGATTCTAATCTCAAACATCGTTACGAGGCTCGTCGATGAAAAAGAAATAAAAAAAAAAAAAACACCAAGAAATAATAAAAATTGAAGAAACACATAAATCACGTGCGCGCCGAACGATTCGGTCGTTTTCGAGTAATTTGACCGGCGCGACCTTGTCCTAGATGGCCGGCCGGGTTTGCGGTCGACCGCGATTTTTCGTTCAATCGACGTAATACCAGACTAATATGAAATATTTGAAAGAGAAGAGCGCGTAGGTATAGGCTCATAATACTATACATAATATTATTATATTATTACACTGTACGCGGCTGACCGGTAAATCGGATGGCATTCGAGCGCGTGGGAATTGAAGAGTTTCGATTTCTGTACCTACGAATAAATAATGAACATATTATGATGATAAAGTTGAATCCTGCTCGTTTGACGACGGACATCGCGAGGTTGGTATTCGATGGACGGTTGACAATACTGACGTCATGTCCGATGTAATAATATTATAAAATTAATCTTGATTTCGTTAAAAAAAAACAGTAATTTTCGTCTAATTTTACAATTTTATTGATTAGTAGTTGAAATCATTATTCCAATCGAAATCGTCAAATTATATTTTTAAATCCATTGATTACAATTTATAATTCTGTGTTTGAAACTATTGTATTAGAGTATTGGAATTAACCTCGCGAACCCAGTACGACAAGTTCTATGTTGGTGTACTCAGAGGGGGGAAATATTTTTGCAAGATTAGCTCAACTAACGTACATAGATATATCAGTTAATGCATAAAATAAAGTAAGTACAACACTTATAAAATATTTTTTAATAACTTGTTCTAGAAAATGTTGTACACCAAATGTTATAGAGAACTCAAAGAAAAATGCCAATGTGGCACTTCTCTCATATTCTTCTTCTACGATATTACTCGCCCCGAAATGTATACTGAAGAGAGCAGGGGCATAACGGTTTTAATATAACGAGCGATAGGGTACAGTGGAAGTTGACATGGCGTCAAAAAGTTGTCTCACCCCAAATATATATAATGTATATATGTACACACAAGTATATACTGCAATACTGTCGCTAGAATATTGCCCTAATATTCTTGTCTCCTCGCTGCACTTTCTTGATTCATCTTTTTTATTATTATTGCTATTTTTTTTTTTACACTCGACCGTACACCGAGAGAGTCGTTAAGCCGATTACATTTTTTCGGTTCGGTCGTCTCGTTATTTGTAATGGACGCGCACACGGCGACGATGAGAACGAAAATCAAATCTGCCATGTGCGCCGATGTTTGTTTTGGGGAGAGGATCTACGCTCTCGAAGCACTATAATAATATAGTCTACTTATAATATTTGCATGTATTCACAAAACTGCAGTTTTATACCAATTTTCTCGATCATTTTAAAGCCAAATCAGGTGAAACTATAGAAATAGCATTATTGCAGCGATGTGATCGCTTGTCCCCGGAGAGGTGCGCCGAGCGATAGTAAAACGATCTCAAAGTTATTAGCTTATAAATATTTTAATTTATTAATAATAATATAGTAAACTAGGACGTATAATAATATATCATATATTGTACTTGAAATATCTTTACCCGAAACTGGAAAACCGTCGACGGTCGTTTCGCATATCTTTTTCCGATACAGATCGAAACGCGATCATCGTGTATAATAATTATTTCCGACGTTATAATAATATATTTAAATATATATTTATATATATTAAGAACTAAAACACTTCCGGCAGCAACGTTTATATTATAGCTTAGGTGTGCACCATACACAACCATACATATATATATAGATCATATAATTTGTGTCTGTATATATTTACTCTAGGACGTCGGCTTTCAAACGCATCGCGATATATATTTGCATTATTAGACTATATTTAGATACCAGCTTCTAACACTACGATTAACGATAGTATAATATACAAGTCGTAGCGACGGTCTTGATTAATTTACATAGGTCGACAAAAACGGCATTATAATTTATTGGCACGGTCGTAATTCATGGGTTTCGTGGTCGGTGGGTAGCGGCGACTGGTGGGTGGAGTGCTGGTGAATGAGATCGCATTCGAAAATGTTCGACAAGTCGGGTGGATGAAGAACGGTCATCGAGAAAACCAATCGAGTGGTACTGTAGTTTAATAATAATATAACAGGGTTAAACCTGCCTGATATATAACTATATTTATTGGACACTGGTGCAGTGGTTATATTCTAAGTTGAAAATTAAAATGTGTTTCTGTGATACAACATAATATTATGTTCTTAATGACACTGTCTTATTCTGCGTTTTGAAATAATATTAATATGTTAATATAATATTATGTTACACACACCACGAGTAACGCCCGTCCGTATTGAATTCATAATTTTAGTAGTAAAATAATTAGATATTATTATGTTATAAATTATAGTCACATTCGTTTGAGTTTGAGTATATTGCCTGTATACAATTAATGTGATGGATATTATATATGAATAATAGATTATCAGATTCGAAACGTTAGAAAACCTAAATCTATTAAAACTGAAATATATCATAATATGCATACATTATATTATATTGGGCGTATACTGAATTTTGTTTAAAAATATGTCATATTTTTGTTACCTACGTATTATGAAAACGAAACGATATATTTTTCCCGCAGCGTCCGTCCATCTGGCAATCATATAAGTGCATAATAATTAAATTGAACACGATTTCTCGTGTTTAACGTCAAAAATATTATTATTACGATAATAACATCACATATGCATTTTAGAACTCGTTTTTTTTCATATTTTTTTTCTCCATTTGATAATAGTTTTCGTAATATTTTATCAAAACATAACCGCTTAAATATTGTGATAGGAGTAGGATTACATGCGACCGGAATAATATAATACATATTTCTGCCAAACTATAGTATAATATTGGGTGTGTTTTATTTAAAACCACGATCACGTGGCTTTGTGACCTATAATTAGATCGTACGTTGCTGCAAGAAAACGTTTTTAACTTTTTTATTATTAGTCGCTACACCTTCCATACTTCGTAGGTATCTTGTACCGATGTACAATGATAAAATAACGAGTCATCTGCAATGTTAGTGTGCGGATGATAGTATGTAATA